GTTGAACTGCTAAAACTTGTTTACTGAAGCATCTTGATATGCAGTAATACTTTTCATCCCACATTTATATTAGAAATTCACACACAAATGGAAATGGAAAAACAGCCAATACCTGTCCTGTTTTTTCCACTTGTGGTCATATATTTAGGTAACCTTTCACCTCATGGGAAAAAAGATCTAACATTCAGAATTACCCATAATAGGGAGAAGAGGAAGAAATTTTTTCTTTTTTTAAGAATGAAACCTTTCCCTCGTGTAGATTCTTGGGTATGTTCTTAAGGTGTGCAGTGTGCTAGTGGGATATGTTTGGGCATAATTTTTACTTGTTTGCATGGATAGCATACAGCCAGTATTCTTTTTTGTTTTTAATTTTATTGAGAATTTCATACATGCATATAAGGTATTTTGATCAAATCCACGCCTACTCCCTCCCCTCCCAACACCTCCCATATCTCCCCATCACTTTTTTCTGACAACTTCGTGTTCATTCATTCATTCGGTTTTCTTTTTCTTTCTCTCTCTCTTCTTCTCTTTCTCTCTCTGTCTCTGTCTCTCTTTTTTAACGGGGCTTTTTGCTACTCTAACATTCCCCCCTCTGAAGAGATAACCCTAAAATCTTTTAGGGATTACCTAAGAGCTCCTAAATACTTTCGACATTTTTGGCCTTTGGAATAGAGTATGTTGCTAAGAGGCCCAAGGACATTTTGATTTTTAGCCAAGAAGCTGGCTACATTTCTTTGGGGTCTTTTTATCCTAACTGCCTAGTCAATTCCTACCTCTTTTTCTTGTCACGCCATCCTCTGAAGAGGTCACCCAAATTGCCGATAGGGAATCAGGACACAGACCACTCTAGCTTCTTCCATGCTGAACAGAGATGCAGTGTGAGGTAATTGGGGTACCCCTTCAGTGGGTCTATCTAAAAGACTCCCAAATTGCATAACTTTTGTCTCTAAGGGGAGAAGAAAGTCCTTGAATCATGAATGGGAAATGTGAAGGAAAAGTAAAGGCAAGAGTAACTGGCATTACAAGTTCTAGACAGGGAACTAGAAAAAAGTCAGAACAGGGCAAATTTCAAATGTTCATACCAGAGTCCGTTGGGATGACGAGAGCTTCCAAAAGCATCCCTCTATTGGGTTCCTCTTTTGTCTGCCAAGGCTGGATTAGAGAGTGATGGATTCAGGATTTGTTTTCAGGTACTTTGATAGCTGTTGGAGTGGCTAGGATCAGTGTCAGTTCCCTCTCAAAGATAGGGGGAGAAAACAAATTTAGCCATCATTTTAGAACAATAGTGGGTTATCTCCCTTAACTGCAGGTGGGCACTACAGTATTGCAGACCACGATTTGAGCAGCACTTTCTGATTCAGAAACAAAATCATCAATGAGAAATAATTGTCTAAATAACTGTTTTATATGGATCTTAAAGAATTATACTGAACACTTTAATCTTTGGTTATACACTCCTTTTGGGTGTTTAAGACCATATAGTTGGCCCAAATAAACCAATTAATTTTTACTCTTCAGGTTATTGGAGGATCCGTTCCTTAGGGGTCACATGGGCTTGGGAAGAGCCCCTGGCTCTTTTCTTTTACCAGTTCCATCTATGTGAAGATAAATCAAAGGTCCTGCTAGACCGTGGCTGGCTTTACTTGGAAGCATGGAGGAAATGTTTCCTCTGAGTTGACCCTCCTCTTTGCAGACTGGGCACTGGTTCAAGTCATCTGATGGGGTCTCCATGGCCTCCCTGAACAGGAGGACAGGTGACTCACCACAGTTATAGGACATTTTGAAAGGTGCTCCATAGTCCCCTGGAACTTAGTTGACCTTAGAGGATAAGGAGCAAAAACTGTCCTTTAAGTCCCTCTGACCAGATTAGTATAGGCCTCAAAGTTTGACTGTTAAACATCCAAGAAAGTTCCACCAATCTGGTACTTTTAATTACCATGTGCTGTGTAGATAAAACTTGGGCAAAAACCAGACATTCTAGATAAATCTTGACTAGATCTATATTTTGTTCCTTAAACTAGTTGACTGAACTATGACTTTAGAAATTTTAAGATTATGTGTATATTATTTTTGTCTCATCCTTTATATATCATAGCAAACCTACACAGACCCTCATCACTTGCGTAGCCTTTCTTATTTTTTTCTGTTTATTTTGGAAAATATCTCCTTTTAATATCTTTTACATTCTCATTTTCATTTTTAATAATTATGAGACATAATATTAATACATAGATTTTTTCATCTGTTCTGAGAATTCTTTTCCTGGGCATGCTAAGCAATGCTTATCCTCTTTTAAGGTTCTAGTGTCAAACCAATGTTTGATTAAAGTTTTCCTGGGGATCCAATGAATTTACTGAGCTTACTTACAGAGATGACTGAGGGGTTCCTGAGGTATATGAGTGACCTGAGGGTATGCACGCTGGAAAGCCTTTACCTAGCATGGACCAAGCCTTCTCTTCCTAGCCTTCCTCAAATTATATACGTTAGTCCTCCCCAAATCCAGGAGACCATGTGTGATTAGGGCCAAATTACATACAGCTGACAGCCAGTGTTCTTAAAAAGGCCAGCCAGATAGGCCTGGCCTGCCTCCTGTAAAGTGCCAGTAGCTGCACCTTGGAAGTGCAGAACTGTCTTGAATCTTGAGCAGTTTCTTGCACCAGATAACTAGATTGGGAGTCTGTGGATCAGAAGTTCAGTAGCTTGCCAGAGCAGTGGGTCTGCAACAATGAGGTCTCTTCCCCTACTGTATAGGGTGCAGTCTTTCTTTCCCAACAGTGTGCGCCCCACTTTTTTGTCAGCCCAGCCATTCTGTCCTACTTTATTCTGTCCCAGCTATTCTTTGGCCTAATCTGGTTTATATGATCTTCCTCTTCGTTCTTCCACCATGGGCATGGTCTGTCTTGATGTTCACCATTCAGTCTTTAGGAAGCTTTCTAGGCCCTGGAGGGCAGACATCATTTCTTAATGACCTTTTAGTTGCAGTCATTATTAACATAGTAAAACTCAACACGGTTTTTGGGTTGTTTTTGTTGTGGTTTTGTTGTTGTTTTTGGTCTTTTAGCTCCCTGTAGCTCTAGCTGGCCTGGAACTCGCAGAGATCTCCTGCCCCTGCCTCCCAAGTGCTGGGATTAAAGGTGCATGCCACTATGCCTGGCTCAACAGGGTTTTTAAAATTATTATTAAATCAAGATTTGTGTTGTGTGAGTGCATGTACACAGACCTGTGTTTGTGTTAGATGTTCATTGGGACTGAGTTTAAAGAAATCAAGGATGCAGTCTCTGCAGCTCCTGCCACTCTGCAGCATGCTTATGTGCCACTTCCCTTTAATTGTCCCGGCAGGGCTGTGGTGTTCGTCGTAGACAGTGCGGCATTCCAGCGGGAGGTGAAGGATGTGGCCGAGTTTCTGTATCAGGTCCTCATTGACAGCATGGGTCTGAAGAACACACCGTCCTTCCTCATAGCCTGCAATAAGCAAGGTGCTATCCCCTTTTCCGGCAATAAGAACTGGTTTTTCTGGGATTGCTATTAAGAATTAATTCATTTATCTGCAGTTGCTGTTGAACATTGGAGGTAGTTGTCATCAAGTATGTTAAAGGATTAAGTCTTAAAATCGATTTTGCTTGCTTTTCCCATCTTTTTACCAGGCTGTTCAAGGTACTGGCAGCAGGGGCTCTTACTGATTTTCCTGTAAAATAATGCTTTGTATTTTAAGACTATAAATTATTTTACTTTGTTAGATATGTTAGCCTGACATCATATCGTGTGAGATACACAGTTTCAGAAGGCTAGCTGGTGTCTGTTCCTTCCAAACAAGTTTACCATTTAGCAGACTCAAGGGGAGTTTTTAGTTTTCCTTGAACCTGGTAACTGTAAAAGCTTTTTAGCCATACTACATTCAGCTGGGCTTCAGTTCTTTTATCAGTAAAATAAAACAGACTACTTGGTGTCTCAGAGCTCGTCCACAGCTAAGTTGCACCGAGCCTTGGAAGCATTTCTCAGAAGTGATCAGAAAGCAGCCATTCATTAATACCTGATGAGATGCAGTGTGAATGCTCCACTTGTAAATGGTATAGGGTGTTTGTTGAAATGGAAGTTCTTGTTGGCTACAGTGCTGGCAAGTGTTCTTTCTTTAAGGTGACTGGACATATGTAAGTATTGAGAGGTTTGGAAAGCTTGGAAAACTTAAGCTTAATCCATTTTAGAATTAAAATGAATTAATACTAAAAACAATATGTTTAAAGCATTTTGCCAAAACCTAAAAATACAACATTTACTCTGATAAGATGGAACTGGTGATTAAAAGCTCTTTAATAAAGGGGTAGGAGATAAAGTTGCTGGTTTAAATTGGAATTTTCTTTGTGTGCCAGAAGTCCTGGGAGAAGATCCATTCTGGGGTATACTACAACAGTGCTTGTCTTTCTTTACAGATATCGCAATGGCAAAATCAGCAAAGTTAATTCAACAGCAGCTTGAAAAAGAACTGTAAGTGTGGACGTGCCCTGTTGGTAAAGTGCATGCTTAGAGTTCAGGGAGCCTGTGCTTTTTTGTATGTGATTGTCACAATTACAGTCAGAAGATAAGTGTGGAATATATGTGTTAAATAATTTACAAAGGAATCAATGGAATTAGAGAAAACACTAATGGAATGTTTATAGACATTTTTAAATTTCATGATTTATTGAAATCATTAGCTCATTTTGTTTTTATCACTGTTACTCTTTTATGGTTGAAAAGTTTTAGAGATTAAATCACCAAGTTTAGAACAGTTTTATTTCAAATAAAGGTATTTGTTCACATAGTAAAGCATATAAAACTGTTTAAAGACACGTGTAAAAAATAACAAAATTAAATAAGAGCTGAGGATTAGGGGAAAGGAAGTAAAAAAAAATTGAAAGCCATTAGAAGCCAGATGTGATGCTGCAGGCCTGTAATCCCAGTATTCAGAGACTGAGGAAGGAAGATGAGAGTCCCAGACAGGTCCATCTGGGCTGTGTGTAGTGAGAGCTTGTCTAAATAAATAAATAAGATTTAAAGACTGAAGCCTTTGGAAATTATTGACAAAATAAGAAAAGAGCCCTTAGGAAGAATATAAAAACCTCTAATACTGTTGTAGCGTCTTAGATTGTTTTCAAGTTACAATATTATTTATCCTGCTTTTAGTGTTCCAGAAACTTGTAGGCTGAGAGATATGTTTCTGAGTGTTAAGGAATCGAGCATGTTTTTTCGTACTGTGCCAATTTATAAGAACTAACTAAAAGTTTGCTTAGGAGAAGAACCAACCATAGTAAAACGAGTTAGGACATTTTCATACTGCTTTTCTTTTTAAAATATTTCTATTTTATGTCTGTGATTATACTGCCTGCATGTAGGTAGGTGCCCCTATGTCATGTAGTACCCACAGAAGTCAGAGAGGGCTTCAGATCTCCCCCGGAACTGGAGTTAAATACAGATGTTAGCTGCCATGTGGGTGCTAGCAGTTGAGCCTTGGTCCTCTTCGAGAGCAGCCAGTGCTCTTGACTACTGAGCCATCTCTCCAGTCCTTCTCTTACTGCTTTTGTGGAAGGACTTTTTTATTCTCCAAAGAGAAGCGTGTAAATTCAACTTTCAGAATATTTTTTCTTGCTATGATTTACTTCTAAATTCTTTAACAAGTACCAAATGGTGTACTCACCACATGCCAGCCCTGCTCAGGGTACTGCTGTCTGGGAGGAAACATGGAGCTCCTGTGCCCAATATGGGGAGTTCAGTAGAACTGAGTTGGATTCACCTGGTGGCAGTTCCTGCCCCCAGCTTGAGTTTGACTTTTTTTTTTTAATGTGTATGAGTGTATTGCCTGCATGTATGTAGGTGCACCTGTGTCGTGCAGTGCCCTTGGAGGTGACATTTTTAAAAGGTAGGTAAAGGGGCTGGAGAGATGGCTTAGTGGTTAAGAGCACTGGCTGCTCACAACCTTCTGTAACTCCAGTTCCACGGTATTCATTGCCATCTTCTGACCTCCATGGAAATTGCACAACACGGGTGCACTTATATACATGCAGACAATACACTCATACACATAAAATAAAAATAATAAAATACTTAAAAAAAATAAAGGCTGGGTTAAAAAAAAAGAAAATAAAATTATGTAGCAGAGACCAAAGGTGGCCCAAAACTCAAAATACTGTTTCTGGCTCTGCCTTTGCTGTTCTCAGCAGCTCCTGTCTTTTCTGAACTTGCGTGTCCTCCTGGCTGTGCTTGCTTTCCAGGAACTGTATGCGTTACTTCCGATAGGCTGAAAACATGGGACATGGAAACAATTGGATGACTTTTTTTTTCTAAACATGCTGTTGATATTCTTAGGAATTGTTTTGGGGGAACAAAAGCTGTTTGTGTTTCAGAGTTGTTTTTTTTAACAGTATGGTAGTCTAAGTCTTCCCATATTTAAAACATGCTTTCCTTAGGCTGTGTGCATTTAACAGTAGAGTCAGAGGAAAACAATACAGGAGGAATTTGAGACAGGATCTTGCAGTGTGCGTCAGGCTGGCCTTGAACTTGTGGTCATCCTATTTTGGCCATGAGTGCTGGGATTATAGGCATGTACCACAAAACCCAACTTATCATTTTAGTCTGATCCTGATCTTGTGTATATGAGAATTAAGCCCTCTTGGCTTTGAAGCATTTGATGGTCTTCTTGTTTTATTTTTGTTTTATTTATTTTTTTGGAGACAGGGTCTCCCTGTAGCCCCACCTGGCCTAAAACTTGCTATGTAGACCAGAGTGGCCTTGATCTCACAGAGATCCTTCTCCCTCTGCCTCCTAAGTGCTAAGATTGAAGGTGCGGGCTACCATGCCTGGCTTTCATGGACTTCTGAATAACAAGATTTGCATATTTACATGACTTGTTTCAAAGGTTTAGAGTACTTTCGATATTTTGCCTCTTTTTCCTAAAAAAATTTTTATTGTAAAATCTTACAATATGAGTATATATGACATATGCCTTAAGTTTATATAAAGTAGATACCCATATATCAACTACTGTATCTAGGAAGCTCTACTGTGTTCTTCCGCAAAAGCTTTCCCTCTCTTTCCCTTGAGGTAATATTCTGAGTTGTATGTTAGTGGTTGTTGTTTTAATAGTTTGACTTATTGTTTAGTTTTGTGTGTATTTACTAATTAAAAAAATTTTTTTTTTTGTTTTTGAGACATGGTCTCCCTTCCAACTGGTTTGGAAGTTGCTAGGTAGACCAGGCTGGCCTCCATCTCACAGAAATCTGCTTGCCTCTACTCCTGCCTCCCAAGTGGTGGGTTTAAAGGCATGTGCCACCATGTTTAGCTACTAATTTAAATTTTAAAAAATTATTTGTGTGTGTATGCCGTAGCACAGGTATGGAGGTCAGGGCAACTTTGAGGTGTTGGTTTTCTCCTTCCACCTTGTGGACCCTGGGGATTGAACTCGGGTTCTCAGGCCTGGCAGCAAGCATCCTTACCCACTGAACTGTCTCACTGGCCCTGTTTGTACTAATTTTAAGCAACCTTATTGAACCAAGAAATGCCTTACTTGTTTAAAGAAATAAAAAACCAACCAGCAGTCTGAAGAGTCCCTTCCCCTTTAGGGGAACTCTGCTCAGGTAAAGCTGGATACTTACTTGTTTGTTCCTCAGAGAAGACTGGTAGGGAAGTGAGAGAGCAAAGCTAGTGTGTTTGTTAAGTATTCACACGGTTATGTAGGAAAGGGGCAGTGCACCATCCCCAGACGTGGGTGCTGTGCTTAGGCATCCACAGTGGCTGTGTAGGGGGTCCTGTGGCTTTCTAAGTTACATTTCTTAAAGGATGTAACTTAACACCAAGATTGAAAGAATAAGAAAAGCTTGCCTTTTAAATAAAGTTTAAAAGTTAAGAAAGAACTTTATTTAGCTTTATTTAAATGTTAATATCTAAGCATGAACTTTTTAGAAAAGATTGGTGTACTCTTCTGCTTCTGGGGAGCTGGCATGTGTGACTCCAACAGGGCCAGCAGGTAGCAGTAAAGAGACTTAAATTGGAAAGGGTTTTTCTGCTTATGAACAGGATGGACAACAGTCTAATTTTGTCAAAATAGGACAGTTTGGAGTTTGTACATTTATAAACTATCCAAAAAAACTCAATGTTAAAAATAAACTCCCTAATTTACCCATGTTTAATTTTCAAAAACTCCAGTTTTTATAATACTATGGCATATATTTAAAACTTTTCAGAGGCTGGAGAGATGGCTCAGCAGTTAAGAACACTGACTGCTCTTGCAGAGGACCCAGGTTCAATTCCCAGCATCCACATGGTGGCTATGAACCATCCTTAACTCCAGTTCCAGGGGAATCCAACACCCTCTTCTGACCTCGCGGCATTGCTCAACACGGGTGCACTCATACACATGCAGGCAATACACTCATATACATAAAATAATAATAAATATTAAAAACAACAACAAAACCAGACAATTTTTAGTGATGTCATTCAGGAGATCTTGGGCTAGACTGAAAAGGCTGGTGTAACCTGGGTCTCCTGACTGACTGGCGTCTGTCTGAGTCAGTGAGTCACAGATGTAAAGGTTAAGTCAGGTCAGCAGTCTTACCAGTGGATTGACAGCTATATAATACCAGTCGTAGTGCTGAAGTACATAGGAACTAAGACAGTTTAAGTGCCCTGTAGGAATGTTGTTCCTGACTCGTTTTCCTTGTGCCCCACAGAAACACCTTGCGAGTTACCCGTTCTGCTGCCCCCAGCACACTGGACAGTTCCAGTACCACCCCTGCTCAGCTGGGAAAGAAAGGCAAAGACTTTGAATTCTCCCAGTTGCCCCTCAAAGTGGAGTTCCTGGAATGTAGTGCCAAGGGTGGGCGAGGGGGCACTGGCTCTGCTGACATCCAGGACTTGGAGAAATGGCTGGCCAAGATCGCCTGAGGGGTGGCCCCAACTCATAAGCTGCAGCTGTGTGTGTGACTGGCAGTTTGGGAAAGGGCTGTGATGTGGAGCTGATAAAGAAAGGGTTCTCCCTACTGCTCCCTTCTAAATGAGTCCTTTTTATTGAACTTTCTTAATGTCCCTTCTTAACATGTGTGGAGTGTCCCTTCAGTGTGTGACTTAACAGGCTCCACATGGAGAGGATGTGTGAGAACATGGGCATCAGAGTTTTCTTCTTCGCTGCTTTGGTCCCTTTTCCTGGAACCGAAGCTGCCTGTTTATGAAACCAGTTAACTTTTGAGTTGCCAGTGGTGTTTGGGATAATGCATTGTATAGTCCTTAGTGAAGTCTTGGCTATATCAGGACAGTGAAGACAGGCTCAGACCACAAGGCACAGTTGACAGTGGGTGTGTTCTTCATTGGCTCAGTGACCTGTCCACTCTCCCCTTCAGTGCCTAGGTTTCAGAAGCCTGCTGGAACCCCTGGAGTCATCCTCAGATGAGGAATAAGAACTGAACCCCCAGACACCCATGGCTGTGTGTGTTCCACTGGCTTCCCCTGGGGACTACCAGGAGATTTGAGATGCTGTGCTGCCTTGGGGTGGGTGAGGGCCCCTGAGCCTGTCTTCCTGTGCTACTTGATCACCTCCTTTTTTGTCCCCTCAGCTGGAAGGCTGTGGAACAAACGCAAACCAAAAAGTTTCACTGTATATTTTAAAGTGTACCTTCGTTCATGTTTTAAAAAAAAGTCACCTTTTCAAAATGATGGTATTTGCTGTCTTCTTAAAACATTTCATTTTTTTTTAATTTTTAAAAACATTTATTTTTATGTGTATGCGTGTATTGCCTGCATGTAGGTAAGTGCACCCATGTCATGCAGTGCCCGAGGAGGTCAGAAGAGGCTGTTGGATCCCCTGGGACTGGAGTTAGAGACAGTTGTTAGCTGCCATGTGGGTGCTGGGATTTGAACCTGGGTCTTCTGCAAGAACAACCAGTGTTTCTAACCGTTGAGCCATCTCTAGCCCCACATTTGATTTTTGAAACTTTTATAAATGATTACTATCTTAACTGCTTAGCTGAAAGCATTACCTCGAATGATGAGTAGTATAAAGGGGAACCTGTGCTGGGGTTTGGGCCTAATTCCAGGTTACCTGAGCCTACAGATTGTGGTGTGCATAGACAGGCCATCGTGTGTCCACCTCAGATACTGGGGGACAGGCCTAACGAAAGCCTATGAGGAGATGAGGGTGGCTGTGGGAAAGTGAGAAGCCATCGGAGAGCCACTGAAGAGGTGCCATGACTGAAGGGGGATGCTGCTCTGGAAGCATGCAGGGCATCTGACCTGGCCTTGAGGGGTAAGTGTGGGGCAGGTGGTGTGCTCCCTGTATACAGCAGTCCCCGCCTCTGCCTGCCACGTTCCTTTCTGTCAGTTGTGCTGAGAATAGGCATCCCTGACCTGCTGTTTCTGGCCGAAGTATTCCAGGCTCCCCATCCCCAAAATGTTTACCAGTCTTTATCTGGAACATGACACAAATACACCTGAGAGAAGCAGTGCCCAGAAAAGGAACTGAGGACAGAGAGCAAGAATGGGCTTTATTTATAGTCCAAAGATGGTTGGGTGAAGAGGTAACTTAGTTGTTAGTTTGAGGCCCTGGGCTTGTTCTCCAGCACCATATAAACAAGGCATGGTGGCACACTCTTTAGAGGTAGGAGGATTAAGAGTTTAAGGGCAGTCTGGGCTGTATGAGATCCTGTCTCAAAAGAGGAAAGGTAAACTGTTTCAAACTGGTTCTCCTGTTACTGGGTGCTGGTATTAACTGCCTCGCTAACTGGTTTCATTGGTAGACACTTTGATTCATAAGAGGTGGTCTCAGGACTGCATGCTGAACATGTCTCCTGTCAGCCCTGTTGGCTCCTGGGCACCCTAGGGATAGTCCACCTGTGGGACCACACGTCTTTAGCATTTTGCTCTTGTTAGCTTTTCTAACTGAAGCAAGCAGGCTATGAAATTCCTCCCACAAAGCTTGTCTTGCTTCCCGTCCTGAGCCATTAGAGTGGGTTTGGGCTGGGGTGAGGGCACAGCAACCGGTCCCTGGGACCTGGGAGTTTTGATGGGAAGTCAAATGTGTTCTCTGCACATGTGGTGTCCCTCTTGTGGTCCTAAAGCTATCCAGGCAGGCCCATTTCTTCATGGGAGGAGAGGGAGCCAAGTGTGACAGTGCAGGAGGGCTGTCATGGGGACAAGGACTGCATAACTCAGACAAAGTAACTGCCTCGAAACACCTTGGGGACACAGCAATGTTGAGCCACCTCAAGCACATGGCTGTGTGCTGCAGTGGCCCTCCTGTTCCCCGCCTGGGGGGTATGGGCTACAGTGATACGCAGTTGTGAAGGTGCAGTTACAGCGAGGAAGGCCTGGGAGTTCATCATGTCAGCTTCTGGAATCTTCCATGGAGTGTGGCATACACGGATCCAAAGGGTTCTTGGCACTGGCCAGGCTGCTCCTTACTCTTTCAAGCTGGGGCCTTGGAAGCCTCTCTCTTACTTGGAGGGGCTCTAACTCCTGATCAACAATGGCTGGCCCTCTGTAGTTCTGCCTGTGATTCTTTTGACATCATTTCACCCAGAAAATGTGCTTTAAAGAATTGTCAAAGCTCCGACTGCCCATTCTCATCTAAAGGCAGTTACAGCACCTAAGAAACTTCTCTTTTTGGTCATAGCTCCTAAGAAAGGGTTGCACCTGACTTCCTCTGTGCAGGAGAGTCATCCTACCTTGCTTCCAACAATAAAGACTTAAGCATGCCACTGTTCGCAAGACCCTGGTATGCAGTCTCTCATTTAGTGAGCCCATGCTGCACCTTGGGATACCATACAAAGCCTGACTCCAGCTCCTGGTGGCTTGTGGCCCATTCTGAGGTTAGGAAGGGTGCCTTTTCAGTGGGACTTCCTACTCCCAGTTGCTACTATGAGCTACATCCCTGCTAGCTGTACTCACAAACACAGCCTCAGAGTTGCTCTCCCCATCGCCCAGTCTCCTGTGTCAGTCATGCAACCCAGCTGGGCCACCATTTTTCTTCTGTGGTTTCAGCAGCTCCTGCATGCCAGTGTGCCCCTGGTCTTACCATGTGTGGCACCTGGCCATGTTCTGTTGACATGAGCATGTATAATATGTATAATTGGGTTTAGCACACAATGACCACTCTCACACAGAGATGAAAACCACCCAGCATCCCTGCCCTTGCCCACTGCACTTTGGGCAGGACAGTCACAGTGTATCGTCTTTCCATTCACACCTAGGAGTTCCTGACGGTACCTCTGTGGTGGGGCCTGCTGGACTGTTAACATCTGACTTAGAGGAGTGTCCACTCCTTGTACTTGGAACACCACCATGTGGGGGAAGGACTGCCTGTCTTAGAACAGCTATACTCACTTCATCTGGCCCATGTAAGCATGTACTCAGGGCTCAACTCTACCCCTCGCCATCCCCTGCACATGTAACTAGATACCAAACCTACCTCTATATAACTAGATTCTAAACTAAGGCAGTGGGCAGGGACCTCTAGTTCTTCTCCCTTCTAATCAGTAGTGGTTTCCCTGAGGTGGCAAATTGAAGACTTTTAGAACCTTTTGGGGAAAGGCAGCTGATGGTTGGGCTGAAAGATTCCCAGCATTCCCAAGCCAGGCAATTTTGCACCCGGCCCTGGCCTTGGCTGCTTTGTTTTTGTTTTGTTTTTAATATTTTTATTTTATGTGTATGCATGTATTGCCTGCATGTAGGTAAGTGCACCCATGTCATGCAATGCCCACAGAGGACGGAAGAGGCTGTTGGATCTCCTGGAACTGGAGTAATGGACAGTTGTTAGCTGCCATGTGGGTGCTGGGATTTGAACCTGGGTCTCCTTCAAGAACAGCCAGTGTTCTTAACCATTGAGCCACCTCTCCAGCCCCCTTGGCAGCTTCTTTGGAATTGGTCCCAGAACTAGTCTGGCTTTCAGGGCATCTGGAGATAGCTGAGAGCTGAGGGGGCCTCTCTGGGACTGTCTTGACTGGTGTAGGATGAAGCTGGAGGTGGTATATGGTTGGTTGGTGTCATTTGAAAGGTGATCATGATTCCCTTTCCGTTTCCCTGGTGGTCTGGAAGTCACAAGAAGGAAGGAACCCAGCCCCTGAGCTCATCCTCCTTAACCCCTAGCAAGTAGAGCCTGAGAATGATGGTAAAGACTCCTGAGACTGGTTCCTCCCAGAGCTTCTCCATCCATCAGCTGCTAGGCAGATGAGATTGTGGAAAGGTGTGTGGAATGCAATCTCACTAGCCTGTCCCATTTTCAGAACTGGTGGAGAGCCCAGGTGAGTAGGAGAATCAGATGCAAAGGGCTCTGAGTAGGGACATCTCATCCAGGTATGAGAGGGCCTTTGAGAAACTATTTTTAAGCCCCCTGTATATAAATAATGGCATCGCTTAGAAGCAGTAGACAAGAGGCTTTGTGTTGAGAATTAGGACAGTTTATTGTTTGACCAACATGCTGAGTCTTTTCCACATATCACACAGTTGAATATAAAGTCAATATGGCCGCTATGCCTTCTGAGCCCATTGAAGATGGAAATGCCACCCTCTGTGTTCCTTACATTAAAGGACGGGTGAGAAGAAGGTGAGGGAAGTCATCACACATGAAGGCAGGCTGACTTTCGATGCTTTGGAGGCTTCTTGCCTCCTGAAGGAAGCATCAGAACTCATGTTGCAATGTTTTCCTAATAAACCACACCCTGTAGAGGAGTATGTTAATCAGAGTCTGGAGTCCAAAGATTAACACATTGAAACTGCAAGGTTTTGGAATACCTAAGAGATTGATTTCAAACACAAAAGGGTGCCCTGACTTGTGTGTGTGTGTGTGTGTGTGTGTGTGTGTGTGTGTGTGTGTATACGAGACAATCGAAGCCGATCTGAGGACTATACCCTTTGCAGTGAAAATATACCTATCTCCTCTAGCTACTCAGCCTGGGAATGAATACCTTTTGTTCTAACCACAGAGTCAGTCACAGAGTAGAGATGGCCTGAGGGACACACATGCTGCAGACTTGTCTGTTGGGATGCATCCTGTATGTACACCCAGATCAGCAATGGATGAAGAATGCCAGCACTCTGGTTCTGATCACTTCTGGCTTGCTGGGTGATCATAGTAAGCAGGTGACCCTGTCTGATTTGGTTTTCCCACCTGTGAAACAGGACGGGTCTTGGGACCTCGGCCTCCCACTGCTGTGGTAAGGTAACAATGCCTCCCATTCTTTGGGGAGAGGTAGTTTGGAAACTAGTAAGCGTACAGCCCTGAGCATTTGACACACTCAGACTTCCTCCTGCTAGCTGCCCCCGTGTGGCTCTGACTCACTGGCCTCAGCCACCTGGTCTGTCCTGACAGGCTTTCTCCCTTCCATCTAGAGAAGGAATGAGCTGTTCTATCTGCAGGACACTGAAGGCAGCAGTGCTGCCCATTTACTGTCACATTAGATACTGGAGGACAGGCACTGGCTAGACAGCATTGGCCAGCCATTGGTTAACAGAGTCAGTGTGCCCAGGATTGTCTATACTCTCAGCTGCCACCTTTCAACTCTCATTTCTGTTGCCTGAGACATTTAACTGATGTGGCATGGCTCTTCCTAGGACCTGGGGACACTGCTGAATGTTTAAGGATGTTGGCAGGAAGGGAGTAGTGACAGTGGCAGCAGTGAGGCTCTGACCACCAAGCAGACTAACCTCTGAGCTTGCAGCTGCACCTGAGCACACCCGATGCTGATGTCACGCCTTCATTTTTGTGTGCATGTGGTGTAGCGATGCCACCGGCCTTTGTGGTCTATACACTATTTCTCCAGTGCTCGCAGAACAGAAGCTTTGCTGACAACTCTCCTTCAAGACTTCCAAAAAAAAAGAGGATCAAAAGAAGAGGGCCCTGTCCATCCGCCAGGCCAGATCTAGTCTGGGGAGAGGAACTGGGTGTCTCAGCTGAGATATGTCCTCAAAGGACTCCTCTGTGTCATTCTCTGTCTACGACTCTAGATTCAGCAAAGATGGGGACACAGGTAATTTCAGGACATCTTCAAGAGAAGCTGACCATGTTTTGAGTCAAGATCCTACCTGTAAGTAGGACAATGATGGTGTGGTTAAGATGAGAGCCCAGGAGCCAACACAATTCTGTGAGAGGCCCGGCTGCCTTAATGGCCTCCAGAAGAGGAGATGGGCAGCCTGGCTGAGGGAAGGGAAGAAGGGAAAGGCAGGGCACTGTTGAGGTGGGAGCAAAATGGGGCAGTACCCTGGCCCTCAGACAATGGGACTGGGAAGGTCTAGACTCAATCAAGAGAGGGTACTGTGTACAAGCTAGAAAAACAGGACTCTTAGGCCACGGCAGTGCAGTGACATCTGCCATGTCTCCTGCTGTTTCTGACAGCAGACCATGGTGTCTGGAGGTCGTGTGCACATGAGAAGAGAGCTGAGTCACTACTGAGGAATACAAGAAAGCTTATTCTTCAGTGCCAAGAAGTTGAAAACCCACCATACATTCATTCACTGAAACCCAGAACAGATCCCTGTCCCTCTGGTTCTGCCAGAGGCCACCAGAGAGGTCCCTCACTACCAACCAGGCTGCTTTCACATGGACACCTATAAATCACGAGGTAAGTAAACCTTCTTCCAACAAGCACCACTTGGGGGTGTGCCCACACTGGGGGGACACTGGCCCACACAGGCATGCACACTGGTGCATACAAGTACATAAAGCTCCATGGGCTATTTTTGCCTGTAGTTTAACACATCTATGCATTATTTTATTGATGGCAAGACAATCACAAGTTATTTGACAATATTGAGTATTTCTTATTTCAACACATTGCAGTACTTTTGAATTTCCAAAACTGGAATCACAACGCAATTTCCAACTTGAGAGCAGAAAGGACAAGAATATACAGTGAGCACATGTACGTGTGTGAGGATGTTTCTGTGGAAGGTGTACACGCAAGTCTATCTCTATGTATAAGTATGTACACACATATAAAAGCTAAACACATGACATCTGAAGTGCGCTCGTCCACTGGTCCTTGCCTTCTGGAAGGGGTGCCCAGGGGCACCCTGCATTCTCCTGCATTCACCAGAACTGGCTGTGACACAGCAGCAGGCCCACTCACAAAGATCAGCGCTGCTGTTTAGGATTCATTTCTGAGAAGTTCCAAAATTCATCCCAAACACCACGTTGGAGAAAAGCCAATGCCAGCTGGAGTTGGTATGTTTTGACTAGAGTCACTGCTCCTGCCTGGTTTGGGGCAGGACTGAGGCAGTGAGTCTGGGTGCAACTAGAATGCTCAGTAGTTATGTCACTTGAGAACATTTTCTTAGAGATTTTACAGGTCCTGAGGACTAAAGCATTACCAGAAGGAGTGGAAATGGCAAGGGTGGCTCACTGGGGGCAGGTCGCAGTGCCTGGGGCAATCCTCTGGAAACCCCACCGAAACCCCTTCCTTAGATGCTCACAGTGCACCCACAATTTTCACAAAGGTATGTGGACAAAGATTTCAACTGTATCATGCCAGTGGGTTGAAAACACAAGAAATCGACTTTTCTAGAACAGAACTCAGCAAGATTAGCAACCAAGGGTCTGAGACCATGTATTGTTCAAAGTGGGGTTCTTCTGCAGACACCCCTCGCTTCCCCAGTCACAGGTGCACCAGCCGCATGTGGCCCAGGTTCCCTGACTTGCCAGAAGGAGGGCTTCAGGGCACACTACCCAGCACAGTACTGAGTTTGCAAGTCAGCCCAGTTACATGCGTCAGAACCACACATCGCCTCAGCCCTCAGTTGCCAAAAGCACCCCGTCCTTCCAGTGATCTCTTGCTCTGCTGGTCACTGGGTGGGTGCAGAGAGAACACATTGCCTGTCCCCTCAGCCCTCTTCAAGGCTTCTCAGGGTTGGAGAAGAGACAGAAAATGGTTCAGGGGTCTGCTGTTGGCTGCCACTCCCATTCGGGGCCCCACGAATGCCCCACTCTGCCAAGGAAGGACTGAACAACGTCCCCTCAAGGCTGTTTTGTTTGATTTGCCTGTGGGGAGTCTAGAGCAAGGGTCTGGTTGGTTTAAGCCATGTGGCCCAGGACTAGAACCTAATTACTGTTGCTCAGTTAATTGTTTTAATTTACTGGGCTGGGGATGGGAGGAAGTTAGAGGTGACAAACAGTTTGAAGAGTACAGGAAGGAGGAGGTGTGTGGAAAAGTTTCTCTGTAAGTTTACAAATATACAAAAAAAAAAAGCACATCTTTCAAATAAAAATGACTACTTTTTTATCTGGCAAAAAGTTGTATACACATGATTTAAATTTTTTTAAATTTTAACAGTTTTTGGCAATCTTAATAAAGTACAATATATTACAACCAAACCAAAAAATAGTTGTTTAACTAACAGCTGTTAAGTGACGTGGTCCCTGATGCCCAGCCTCCCTCCCCATGTCCCACCCTACTCCTAGAGAGAGAAAAGAAAGATCCTCCCGTCTTGATAAACTCATTTCCCACCCCATTAGGAAGCTAACCAATAGGAAGCAACAACAAGCGAGTAGTGTTGAGGAAGCCACGGTGGGCTCTGCATTAGCAGGAGCACCCACCCTCGCTGGCTGGGGGCTCCTGGGGCTTGTCCAGCTTGATGTCGATCACTGTAGAAGGCCGGCTAAGGAAGATGACTGCCACAGACATGCCACTCTGCAAACCCCACGACTCGGCCCTTGGCTCAGATGAGTGGGAAAGAGCTGACCAATACCCACCCTTCTCCTCTGCCTCCACCCGCTCACTTCCCCAAATTGTCCACGCAGAGCAAAGCTTGTCCTGGGCTGTGATGTCACCGTCTACACACAGGTCAGAGAGTCCCTGTCTTAGTGGATTTCTCCAGTGACTGATGAGTGGTATTCAAACACCGGAGCCCAGGGTCAGTTTCAGCTTCAACCTCATTACCTGCCAGCCCTGTCCCAAAGTGCCCTGGGGGAGAAGAGTCCTCCAGTCCAGGCTCAAATGTGAATGCCCACATCAAAAAGCACAGGGGAACATGGGGTCTCCTTGGTAGGCAGCAGAAACAGAGCCCTCAAGCTTTAGTCAGAGGGTGTCCCTTTTACCTCAAGGATGATACACTGAGAAACCACATCCATAGGTCCTAAGCAGTCTCTTTCCACTGGCACTATCGGGGGCAAGAGGTTGAACTGAACTTACCAGAACCACCTGGTTCAGAACCACCTGAAGAGTGGGTTCAGTGTTCCCTCCTATCGTCTCTGGCTGCAAACCCAAAATACAACTCCTTGAAACCTTTGCTTTGCATCTAGCCAGACCATCTTGCTGCTGCTGCTGAGCATCGAGCCCCTGGATGTGCCACAGCCGTGCTCCCCTTGGCCTGGGCTTTGGTGCCAGCTCTACTGTTGCACTGGGTGGGGGTGAGCATGGTGGGATGGCATGACAAACCCTGCTATGGGGCTTGTTGCTGGCATTCTAAGGATGCTCTTGTGTCCCTTATTTGAGGATAACAGGAGAGATTCTTTTGACATAACACACCATGAAAACCACGTGACTCCTGAAGTTCACAGTGCCCTCCTTGCCTTGGCTTTTAGGACACTCAAGCAGTATTGTGGTCATTTCTAACAAACACTTAGCATGGTATATATTGTATGGCTTTTCCTACCTTTATGTATACATAGACACACAATTTTACCTTTTTTGTGTGACACACACAATTCTGATGCCAAGGTAGGGTATAAATAAATAGGTAATAGGCATATGCCTTCCTTCCCACCTTCATCTCAGCAGAGGCACAACTTCCAAGATCTCTCAGGCTGTCACTCAGGTCTTCCCATGAATCAGTTCCGACCTGACCCCTGCCCTCTGCCACACATGGCTCTAACAATCAGATGGTCCCCACATCTTCCTTCCTTCACTCACACTGTTCCTTCCTTCCAGAAATACTGCACCCGCCTGGGTTCCTCGCAGGTTCCTTCCCTATCTCTGCCTGTAAAAAGTGTCCTCATTCTAGGTCAGGGCTCATGTCCATGCTGCCTCTTCTGTGGAGCCTCTCTGGGTACTACTGAACACCTACTCTATGGCTGGCTCTGCAAGAGGCGCCTTAGATGTGACACCTCACTTCAACATCAGACTTCATACTGTGGCGAATAAAACACCCATCATCCAGCTTGAAGGCTGAGGAGCTGGGTGAAACCCAAGGCTATCCCCCCCACCCCAACCACCACCGAGTTAGTTTCCTTCCCTCCCTCCCACCCTCCCTCCCTCCCTTTCTTTTCTTTTTAACCAATGGCTGGTATGCCTTGAGGACTAAAGAGGTTTTGTTTGTTTTTCTTGTTTGAGACAGGGTCTCATGTTGCCTAGGTTGGCCTCGAACTGGCTACGTAGCTGCAGATACTACCACACCTGGTGTTCTCTTGTGCTGGGGATCAAACTCAGGGCCTCAGACCCATCAAGCACGTGCTCAGCCATGAGTTCCTCTCCCAGCCCAATTATGCTTTTGAATGAGCAGACTGTATACACTAAGTCCCTCTTGCACTGGTTTCTCAACCTCACTCACATTTTGTTCCAACTGTTTCTTTGTTGTGGTGTCCCACTGTGGGTGAAGAATGCTTTGCCGTACCCCTGAGCTCTACCCACCAGCCACCAGAAACGTGTTCCCCAGTCCTCTAACTTACCACAACCAAAAGCATCTAGAGATACTGCCCAATGTCCCTGGTGGGGAAGAGAGCAAGGTGGGTCTCCTCTGAGAAGCGTTGGCTGGACTGGCTGGAAGGCCGGCTGCGGCTACAGCATGACATTCTGCCCAGGCATCCAAAAGAAGTTTTCTCAAATGCAGCTTGAGTCTGAACACTTTTGTATACTACACAGTATGTTTGGACTGCATCTAAAATCTCCAGGGACACTTGCTAAAAACAGATCTTCCTCAGTGGAGGCCCTTTCTCATTGGACCTGTAACAAGTTCTCTGAAGCGTTCCAACGTACAGACACCACCTGGGACACCAACACTACAGACACCAGATACTTCCGGAATAGTGCTGTCCGAAAGGCCTTGTGATGATGGACCATCCTACATCTGCATGTCCAGTGTGGCAGCCAATACTAGCACAGGCAGCAGAGGGCTTGGATGAGGTTAGTGTAAGCAAGGATCGGAACTTTAAGAAATATGTATCTACATGTATGTGTTTGTGTGTGTACACTTCATGTAAGGGTATGCATATCTGGATACCAGAAGAGAACGTCCGGTGTCCTGCTGTATCTCTCTGCCTTATTCCCTTGAAACAGGGTCTCTCATTGAACCTGGAGCTAGGCTGGTGGCCAGTAAGCCCCAGTGATCTTCTTGTCTCTGTACCCGACAGTACTGGAGTTACAAATGAACATGGCCATGCCAGTGTTCTTTTTAGACACTTAATTTTTCCAAAAATTTATTTTAAAAAGTTTTATGTGCATGAGTATTTGCCTGAATATATATATATATATGTGTGTGTGTGTGTGTCTAGTGCCCATGGAGACCAGAAGATAGTATCAGATTCCCTAGAACTGGAGTTATAGACAGTTATAAGCTACCATGTGGGTTCTGGGAACTGAACTTAGATCCTCTACAGGAGTAGTAAGTGCTCATAACCTCTGAGGCATCTCTCCAGCCCCATGTCTGGCTTTGTACCTGGGTTCTGGGGACTCAAACTCAGGTCCTCACATTGATACAGCAAGGGCTCTTCCCCGCTGATCCATCTCCACAGCTTGAAGCTGAACTTTTATCTTAGTCTAATTTAGTTGTGATCAGTAACATGTGGCCACAATATTGTAAATCCCAGGCTTAGACTGTTTGCTACCATATGCTTCACACATACTGTCACTTAATGTCATTTCTCTCCTGTAATGCTACAAGCCACGGAAATACAGTGGTCAGGAGTTGCTTGCTCATTGAAAAAGACGGGGAAAGATTGGTGAACTGAGTTCTAAATAGTCTCTAGAAAAGGAGATACTTCTGAGGAAGTGTACCACAGGCTTTGAAAGGAGCTTGTCTTCCTGTAGACAGAGCAAAGTGAGTCTGCCTTGTCCCTCTGGTTCCAGTATGGTACACAGACCCATTCAGGACCCCAGATGCGGCCCATCACTAGCCACATCAAGGATCACTGCCTGCTGGTTCCTGAAACAGTGATGGGCCCAGACAGCCTATTACCATCTTGTCCCAAGCTGCTGCGGATCCCCCCCCCCCGCCACTTCCAGTGCCTCTGGTGCTACTGTGGCCACAATCCTCTCTGTGCCTGGGGTGTCAGAGCTTCACCGCTGTCCATCAGAGTACAATGCAGGCAGGTTATAAACATTTGGATTTGGTCCCAGCTCTGTCAGCTTTCCAGCTGGGAGGCCTGAGGCATGCTCTGCCATGCTTGGAGCATCAGTGTCTACTTTGCTTAAGACCACTTCATGAAGTGGCTACTGCCAAATTACTGCCCCTTCTTGGTATACTCCACCCTTGTTCAGAGGGCCCGGGGGGCTACACCAGGAAGGCAGCTGTCTGGGTCAAAATCAGGAGAGGGGAGACTTGTATATGTGGATCCAGCAAGGGGCTTCGGGCTCTATCATGTGGTCCCTTAGCCCCACCCTATTGAGAAAGCAAGGTCTGGGGAGTCAGTGGGGTAAGCTGGCAGGGGGACCCTGAGGAGGCTTCCTGTGTGGGGTAGAGGTGAAGTGCAGTATCTCTTTGCGGGGACCTGGAAACCGCAGATGGAAGCCTGGCACCCACATACCTCTCCACCCTTTAACACCCCCTGACCAGTCCACGGAGCCAGCCTAGAATGAACCTTTCACATATTGCCAGTAAGTGGCACATCTATGTGCTTGTTACTGATGTTGGATGCAACTCCAAACATGAGCCCAAGGTACACTCCTGGGTTCGAACCACCAGTAACAGAAGGGCCAGTCCACCACCCCAGCTGAATGAGTGGCAGTTGCTTCTACTGGGTCCATTCTGGGATCTTGGGGGTCTGCTCCGGGTTGTTCTAGCCCTGCGTCATAGAAGGTTTCAGCCAGTGGGCATTTGGGCATTATGGGAGTGTGTGGCTGCATCAATCAGATGGGCTACCCCATAGCTGGGCAAACAGACAGACCAGATTGCCCTGTGTGGTCTGTGGGCCCCACCTAGGGGCCCAGAGGTCACTCCTAGCTGTGTGAGATGCTATGCATACTAGGATGATGTGCTAGTTGTCACCATGGACTGGGAGCCCATGTGACCTGACTATGGGCCAGCATGGAGTCCCCCAGAGGCCTCTGGGTGAAAGTAAACAAATGGCCTCCACTCATCCTGGCAGGTCTGCTTTGCCTTTGAAATAGACAAGATGGACGTGGGCTCTCTTCAGCCTGTCCCTCACAGGTGGGCACAGCGGGGTCACCACCTCTTGCTTCTCTTCTCCCTTGGCGCTGCTCCCCTCTTGGTCCTGTACCTCAAAAGATCCCCATCTAGCCAGCAACAGTGGGGGTTGTATCCTAAGACCTACAGCCCAGCTCTCCAGTGCAATCGAGAGCTCGGAGATGCCCTTCACAGCCTTTGGGTTTGTTTCTGTCTCCTTAGCTTCAAACAAAGTCTTGTTTTGTTTTCGTTCTTTTTTGAGACAGGGTCTCCCTGTAGACCCAGCTGGCCTGGAATATGCTATGTAGACCAGGCTGGCCTTGATCTCTCAAAGATCTACCTGCCTCTACCTCCGAAGTGCTGGGTTTAAAGGGGTGTACCGCCATGCCCAGCCTGCAACTGAAGTCTTATGACTGATCAATCAGGTGACACACCAGTCTGCCCCCTTAGCCTCCAGTTAGCCTCTGGGGTCACACAGACTACTGTTTGTCCTCTGGGCACTGCTGGGGCACCTAACCATTCCTTGGGGCTCAAATTTGTCTCCGGCTCACCCTTGCTGCAACCTCAAGGCTCCCAGCATTGGGACTTTGCTCTCTACCTGGTACCACACACATTGGGCAGAGGGGAAGGGCAGGAACAGCTATAATGTCATCTCTTTATCTTCCCATATGAAACTAATTGTTTCCCTTTTTGCTCTCATCAGCCTGAAGGTGCTTTTTGAACCACCGGGGCTACTCTCTGACTGCCATGGGAGTGTACCCTCAGAGACCTCTAGGAAAAAGCAGACAATGACAGGAAGCTGCCTTGAAGGGATATATCCCATTGTGAAGGATGCAGGCTGGGAGGTAAGTGCCCTGTCTAGAGCCTTACACAGGCAGTTCCATCAGACTAGCAGTAAGCAGTGTCCTCACCCACCTAACTGCTTCTAAGATTAGCCTCTCTGGGGCCCTTTGAGAGACAGTGCCCCACAGTGGAATAGGGCTGGCTCTGAAGGAGGTCTCGGCATGAACCCTGACTCCATAACTTAAATATTCAATGTGTCTTTGAGCAAATCAGTCTGCCTCTCGGAACCTGTTTTATCATCTAGGTGTTAGTTCAAATTTCCGTTGTTCTGTGGGAGTGGTATGTGAGATTGTTCCATAGAGCATTGGGGAGAGTGTCTCACGCTGGCATGTTGAAATTATGTGGTCCATGTATGAAAGCCACCCCTGCCAGGGGTCTCCAGTGGATCATGAAACAGTGTTCACTGCAAAGTAGGGCACAGCTACCACCACACTTTCGTGTCTCACACCATTGCCACACACACACCCCTAGCCTTCCTCACTGATGGGAAAGAAGGGGCAGCCTTGGCTGGAGCTGGGAGAGAGCTCAAAGGCCATGGAGCCCAGGTGGGCCTGAGCACAGGTAGCCCAGCCATCTGCATCAGACCAGGGAAGGTTGAGCTGGAGGGCTGGCAGGGTTCATCTACTTTACTGAAACACTAAGTGAATCATGGGCTTTGGGGGCATTCTTTCACTCACGTGTTGAAGGAAAAGGATACTCCCTTCTTTGCTTTTCTCCTGGACATTCTCCATGCCGGGCAGAGCCGATGCCACACGTCGGAAGAGCTGCAGAAGGGAGATGCAGGGTGAGCCCCGGACCTGTCCCTCCGTCTAGCTCTTGGTCTCCTCTTGTGCCCTTCTCTTTGTATGTGTGGATCTTGGGCATTGCTTGCCTGTCTGTCTGCTGACTGCCCTTGAGGGAAGGCCTGCTCTAAGTCCTCTACTGTCCCCAGAGCCTCTCACAGCATCGGCCCTGGAGGGTCTCAGATATGTTTGTGGAAAGAGGGAACAGAGGCTAGGGAGAGAGCCCAGTTGGTTAAGGGCTTATCACACAAGCATGAGGACCTGGGTTCCATCTCCAGAACCATGTAAAACGCAGGGCATAGTGGCACACACTGTAATCCCAGTGCTGAGGAGGTAGAGATGGGCAGATCCCTTGAACTCTCTGGCCAGTCAGACTAGACAATTTGGTGAGCTCCAGCACAGGGGAGGCAGAGGCAGGCATATCTTTTGTGGGTTCCAGGCCAGTGTGGTCTACATAGTGAGTTCCAGCTATGGCTACAGGGAGACCCTGTCTTAAAAAGACTGAAAAAAAAAAAATAATAACAAAGGCTGACCTCTGGCATCCACAAATGCACACACTTACATGCCCCACCCCAACACATACATACCTGCACACACATGAATGAATACACAAAAGAGAACAAAGCTGTGGCTTCACCTACAGGCAGGATTGATACTGGGGGTGAGCAGAGGGCATTTCAGTGACAGCAAGGGACCTGCCCTGGTGCAGAACTAATCTAGGCCACTAGGGGCAGCCCTTCGCTGTCCATTGCTCTTATGGGACTAGTTGTGGTAAACTAAGTTCTGACCTACCCTAAAGGCAAATGACTCTCCGCAGGGGTACTGAAGCAACCAGACATAGGGAGCCAGGGCCATGGTCACAGTTAGGGACATGATGGTGTGGGCTCGTTTGGATGTGTGTGTGTGTGTGTGTGTGTGTGTGTGTGTGTGTGTGTGGAGTGTATGAGTATTTGTAGGGGTGTGTGTAAAAATATGTGTATGAGGAGAGGGGTGTGAGTATATGGGGGAAGTGAGGTATGTGTGGTAGGCATGGATGTGATTGGGTCATGTTTCTATGTGTGTGTATGAGAGAGAGTGTGTGGGGAAGCAAGTGTGGGGAGTGTGTATATGTATGTGTGGGCTTATGAGTAGTCTATGTGAGTGTGTATTAGGACAAAGGATGACAGCAGTGGGGGACCTGGCAGAGAGAAGCTGACAGGGATAAAATCTTGATGGTAACAGGCCTAGGCCCAGGGCACAGAAGATTCGGAGATGCTGTGCCGAGATGCTACTGTCTGGATGTCTGGGTTTCCCTCAGGTTCATATGTTACAACCCAGTTCCCAGTGGAACAGTGTAAAGAGGCAGCACCTTTAGGAGGTGATTCATCAGCAAGGCAGAGACTTCCTGACTGGGACAAAAGAGGCTTGAGGGGGCCCGTTTGTCCCTTCTGTGAGGAAAATCAGTTGAAGGTGCCAAATATGAGGAAACAGATTCTCAGAAGACATCAAATCTATCAGCATCTTCATCTTAGATGTCTTAGCCTTCAGAACAGGGAGAAAGAATTTTCTGTTGTTTATAAGCTACTTAGTCTGTGGTAACTTGTGATAGCAGCTCAAACAGAGTAATATATGGATATTGCCCCCACCCCCATCCACAAATACCACGTACAGGTACTTGGTGGGCTCAGCTTCTAACCTCCACTGTATGAGATCTCCAGGGACAAGATGACTCTTCTTCAAGGTCTCAGACCGGAGCCCAGATCTTTTGAGCACTCGGACTGAGTGACAAGGCTAAAGGCAGAGAGGGCCCAGGTGAGGTGCCAATGGGTCCACGTAGCTAGTGGGCCCAGCAGGGGTGGGTTCCCTGCAGATGGGCAGCATGCAGAAGGGGCCTAGCAGGCTGAAGTGGGACAGACATAGAGCTCTGCTCTGCCTATTTATCAAATTGACCCCTACTTCTGCTAATGACCACACTGAAGTCAGAAGGATGCTCTTGGGCCTGGAGCAAGTTTCTGTGAGCAGGTATCATGTTCAGAGTGCGGGACTCGGCCCTGCTCAGAGACTCTTTTGAACCACACAGGGCTCCAACTGGTCATATTTAACTCCTGCTCAAATCCCTGCCCAGATCATTCCAGGATAAGGAGGGGATAAGCCTCTCCCTGACCCAGAGCATTGTATAGATGCTACCTGTGCAATGTACTGCCTGCTGTTGCCCTCTATTTCCCAGTTTCCTGTGATCTCACTGGGCAGTGGCCCACACTTCCTCTTCTGTGAGATACCTTGAGGGGGAAACCCAACACCCAACACTCATGGAAAACCAGGAAGGGGCTGTGGTGAACAGAGTCTGCTGAGTGAGGGTCTTCCAATTGGGCAGTGAGTCCCAGGAGCTTTGGGGTCTCACTAGTGTTACCATCATGCTGTAGTGCCTCTGCTACTCTGTCTCCTCCTCCTTCTCTGCTGCCACCGACACTGTCCACACGAATCAGCCATCACTCCATCCCAAAGTCCAACTGGTGCTCTGGAGGCCACAGTGGAGACCACACCAAAGCACACTCAGAGTCCCTATCCCTGCTGTAGGCATGGTATTGCTAGGCCGCCGCGCCCATCAGTAGCTTCGACCTGTGATGCCCTTGACCCCCAGCCACTTTGCTAAGTTCTCACTCGAGCCATGAGCCCCTTTCACAGTCTACTGAAGCCTGTGGACTCCTTTTCATGTGTAAAATCAGTTGTGGAGATCATAAAGGAAACCATTTGGTTCTGAATGAAACTTCCAACATATTTAAAGATACTAATTTATGATCTGGTGACATTCGTGACTCCTTATGAACATACTAAACAGCAAGTGTGGGTCTAACAGCTAGTGGGATGAAGTAGTGAAGGGTGTAAAGTTCGGGTTGCCTGCCATGCCATGAGACAACAAGGAAACATCTGTGGTTTCTGTCAGCGAGAGAGCCACGGGCACCGCAATGGTGGGTCTGGTTGTTTACGTTCATCACTGAGGCGCATGCTCAGGTGAGCTGGAGGTGATGTACAGGCGGGATTTTCTTAAGCCCATGACTGCCGAACTGCTGAATTCTATCCATGAACAACCTAGGTTCTGTGGACCCAGGCTAGACACCGCTGCCTTAGCCCCAGCTCTACCTCCTGCCCCTCCTATGAGTCCCGCTGCACCATGGGTCTCTTTGCTCCAGTCCTAAGTTGTGAGCACATGCCAAGTACAAGACATAAAACCAATGTGCTGATTGGATTTAAAATCTTGAACTCTCACCCACATGAACTGAGATGCTGGGAGCCACAACTTCCTCAGCCAGCTGGGAGTCCATGCTGGGCCCTCACTCATGCGAGTTGCTACAGGAGCCCACGCCCGGTCACTGATGTGGTGGCTAGTGACTAACAGTGTTCACATGGCTCCCAAGCTGAAGTTAGTAACTTCCCCCACTGCTGAGTGTAGGGGTTATAGGTGCATGCTCTGACTGACTGACCCAACCTATTGCTGGCCTACTTAGGGCAAGGCAGGCCCCAGGAGGGGTCCTCCAGCGCTGTGCCAGCCAGGGCCAGCATCAGGTGTGTCCTCACCTGCTTCACGTTGTACCCAGTCTTTGCACTGGTCTCAATGAACATGACGCTCAGTTCTTTGGCGCGCTGCTCCCCTTCCTCAATGGTTATCTGCCTGGAAACGAAGGAGACAGGGAAAGATCAATTCACAGGCACAGTCCCTGGCAGGCATGGCGGGTGTAACCTGAGATGAAGAACTGTGGGCAGGCAGAGGGAGATGACCAGGTCCCTCAGTCAGCCCTGAAAACAGATTCCCATGCAACAGGGTCCATGCAAGGGTGTCAGTCAGAGTCTCTCCAGCAAGAGAGTGGAATCTGGATACAGAGAACCCCAACTCCTTTCCCTGTTTCTCCCATGTCTTCCAAGCTGTCCCCCCAAACCCTCTTTTAAAAATTTATTTTTATGAGTGTATTGCCTGCATGCATATAAGTGAACCCGTATTGTGCAATGCCCACAGAGGTCAGAGAGGGTGTTGGATTCCTCTGGAACTGGAGTAACAGATGGCTGTTAGCCACTATGCAGGTGTTGGGAATTGAACCCAGTTCCTCTGTAAGAGTAGCCAGTGCTCTTAACTGCTGAGCCATCTCTCAAGTCCCCCAACTCCCCTTTTTAATGCAGGGTCTCATGTAGCACAGGCTGGCCTTGAATTTGTTACGTAGCAGAGAATGCTCCTGATCTTCCTACCTCTACCTTTCTAGTCCTGGGATTACAGGTATGACAGCACGCATGGTTTTATGTGGTGTCGGGGACTGAACCCAGGGCTTTGCTCATGCTAGACAAGCACTCCACCAACCGAGCCATATCCCCACTGCCTTTCTCAGTAGTTGCTAGAACAAGAACTTAAATTTATTTTTTTGTGTTTTAAAAATTTATTTATTTTTATGTGTTTGAATGTTTTGCCTGCATATATGTAAGTATACCACATTTGTACAATGCCTGCAGAGGCCAGAAGAGGGTGTCAGATCTCCTAGAACTAGAGTTAAGGCTGGCTGTTAGCTACCATGTGGGTGCTGGGAACCAAACCCAGGTCTTCTTGAAGAACAGCCAGTGCCCTTAACCTCTGAGTCATCTCTGCAACCCCAAGAGTTTACATTTATAAAAGAGCTCCTGGGGAGGCACATGGGGTCTCTCTGAGGGGTATTTTCAGGCCCCCTTTCCTGGTGCAAGTACCAAGGTTAAAAGTAACTCCTCAGGCACACGGAGCTGCTCAGAACACTAGCTGGGAAGGAGCCCATTTTCCTTCCCTCAGGTCAGGGCCCTAGTAAAGGAGGCTCTAACTCAGATTATTTCTCAAACAGTTGTGACACTATAGGAAGCCCACACTCTTTGTTGCAGATCATGAACTGTGGCTTTATCTGTCCCAGTCAGGGCAGGGTTTCAGGAGATGAGAGGACACATTTATGTAAAGAACACTCCAGTAGACCTGGACACTGGAGGGCAGCTGTGGAAAGGCCTCCTCCAAAGACACTTCATGCTCTGACGCAGCTATAAAGCAGGGCACATGGCCTAGGGTCAGGCTGATGTTTTGCTGACATTCTGCAAACTCGCACCTAGGGACCTGGGTTTACCCCACATACCAATGCAGGGGCTTCGTGGGGACATCTGTGCAGATAGCTCCCTATTCTTCTTTGCTGGGCAAGGAAGGTGAGGTCTTCAGAGATGACAGCCCTGCAGATGGGGTGTCTACCAGGGGCATCAGTGGTCCTATGCACGGCATCAGCACATCAGAAGTGCAGGCTTGCTGCTCGTGCATCTTGGATCTCCCAGGCAGGAGTAGCTGCAGAGGAGCACACAGCCCTGCTAGTCCCTGAACCTCCACGCTCTGGCATCTTACCTTTTGTCAGCCAGATCCGTCTTGTTGCCCACAAGCATGATGATCACGTCACTGCCCCTTTCTGTCCTGACGTCATCAATCCACTTAGAGGTCTGCTGGAAGGAGTTGAGATCTGGAGGAAGAAGGTGGAGACAGACTGGGAATGAGGGAGACAGAAGGGCAAAGGTGTGCCCAGACACTGGTCCCTATACCCCAGTCAGGCCGGAGCCATCCGGGGAAGTGAGCCCTGCTCTGAGGAGCTTGTGTCATGATTTCTACATGGCTACATGAGAGTCAGAGCTGATAAGGTGAGACATGAAGGCACTGGGACCAGGGAGGGGAAGACATAGTAGGAAAGGCAGGTAGAAGGCCACCCTGGGGCCCTACCACGGGATCCAGTGGCACTCATTCATCCAGAAGCAAGGCAGTCTCACCTTCCTCAGGAGGGTCACAGAGTAATGCCCAAGCTCAGCACCTAGATGAGGGGAGGTGGCCTGTTCTCCATGGCCTGTGACACAGCTCTCCTCTCACTCAGGGGTGTGGGGAGCGTACAAACAGGGAGAGAGTGGCCAGAAGGGGCAGGCAGAGCTGAGGTGGCAGGCTAGAGCAGTGAGTCAGGCATGCCCCCATGTGATTTCAGGGCTGCCAGAGTACCCTCTGTGACCACATCTGAGGGCTTCCCAGATGTGTTCCTCTAGATGGTCCTGGGGAACTGGGGTTCTGCATGAGCCCCACCCCAGACCCCACCCTTTCTGAGTCAGCGCAGTTCTTTCAAGAGCCACAGTATGTAAGAGGGTCTGCCTCCGAGGATCCCTCGGGAGAGCTGGGATGCCAGTTGACTGTCAGAGCTTCTAGCTCTGGATGGGGACAGGTAGCAGCATGTGTATACACACACATACATTTTTTTTAAATGGGAAATTATAGGGTCCAAAGCCGGAGGAAAGAAGAGAGAGAGAGAGAGAGAGAGAGAGAGAGAGAGAGAGAGAGAGAGAGAGGATTAAGGGAGGGCACAAATGAGCTAGGGCAGGGGCAACCTTGTGAACATCTGCTTCCCCCACACGCACCACCCTGCTGAGCAGGACCAAACCCGCTCTGTGTACCTTGGTCAGAGAAGCATGAGGGACAGTGACCCCACTATTGTTCCAAGGCAACGTACCACTTCCACACTGAGCACATACATGTGCACATATTCACATACAGGGTGACACCTGGACCCCCAGAGCACCCTCCTCCCAGCATAGAACCCCCCTACTCACTTGTGATGTCATATACCACCACAGCCACCGTGGAGTCCCGGATGTAACTGGGGATCAGGCTGCGAAACCTCTCTTGCCCAGCTGTGTCCCATAGCTGCAGTCGAACCTACAGGGCCAGGGCAGAGGTGTCAGTGGGGCAGCAAAGTTCTTCTGGCAGAGGGGGTCAAGGGGTCCAGGCCCTGTGATGCTGGCACTACCAACTCCATCCCTGTCTTGGCAGAGGCTCTCAAGTGTGCCCAACTGAGGGTCCCAAGGGATGAACCCAACGACGCCCTCCCTGTCCTCCCAGGTGAGGTAAACAGGCACTCACCGTACGGTCCTCCAAGTACATGGTTTTTGACAAGAAGTCAATTCCGATGGTTGCCTGTTAGAGAACATCATAGGGAGGTCAAAATGGAAAGGACCCATACAAAGGGGGCAAAAGCCCAGGGACCCCAGGCAGAGGCATAACGGAGCCAAGTCCCTCCACAGGCCACCCACATCCTTCCCACAGAAAAGGAGCTTGAGCAGACCAAGAATGAGAGCTTTTTCTTCCTCAGAGAAGGATGCTTTTTGCAGAGAGACAGAAGAGTACCTCAGGATGAGAGAGGGCATGGGGCATGGAAAGGCCTTCCTCAGGAATGAGGCTGCTGTCATGCACAGCCTAGTCCCCCCTCAAGTGGAGCTCTCTGCTGCCCCAAGCCTCCCCTTGAGCTCTGCGACATGGATTTGGGTTCACCACTGTCTTGGGGAGGGTCTTTGGGGGGTGGGGAACTTGCTACTGCATGGAGACCAAGAGCAATGTGGCCTGTCGGTGGGGGGAGGGGTACTGCAGATCATCCACAATAATGTCTTCTTGGAAAATCCAACTGCTTCTTTTCTCCTTATGATGGCAAGTTAGGGCTGCCAGCCACACCCTGTACCACCCCTGTGCCTTTTCTGTCCTGGTACTGGGAAGAGCAGCCACCTTGCAGCTAAGGTCCAAGACCCAACACTCACACGTATGTGGCCTTGGGCAGGCCACCTGACCTCTCTGGTCCTCATCTGCACCCAGTATCTGTGAGTAGGAGTTAAGGTTTCAGTGTGAAATGGAGAAAACACTGCTAAGTAAAAACAGCAAAGACTCAGAGCCCAGACATCCAGGGCATGGCTTAGGCAGCATGGTCGGTCCATGTGACTGGAATCACCTTGAAAAATACGTACAGGTTTGGAGGAACATTCATTCAATGAAAAGGGAAAGTATAAAACACCGTGGATGGTGAGATCTCAATTTGATTATCTGACATGAACAGAAGAGTATTTCCATATTTTCTCATTAAAGTGAAGGGAATATGCTTTGTGGCAGTGTGCTGGATAGATCGAGCTGTCAACTTGACACATCTGGGTTGAGGTAGCCTCAATTGGGGAATTGCCTCCATTGAACTGGCCTGTGGCCACTGTCTGTGGGGCATTTTCTTGATTTTTTTGAGTGATATGGGAGGGCCCAGCCCACTGTGGGAGGTGCTACCCCTGGGCAGATTGTTCTGTATTGTATAAGAAAGCAGGCTGAGCATGCGCCAGAGGAGCAAGTCAGTAAGCAGCATTCCTCCACGGCCTGTGCTCCGGCTCCTGCTTCCAGGTTCCTGCCCTGAGTTCCTACCTTGGGCTCCCTGATGAACTGTGACCCAGGAGACGTAAAGCAAATAAACCCTTTCCTTCCCAAGATGGTATTGGTCAAAGTGTTTTGTTACAGCAATTGAAGGAAGACTAGGACAGGTAGCATCTGGATAGTAACACTGTGGGCAAGTTTTTGCTTTCTTTACTACACATTCTTACATTTTCTATAATAGACAAATAGTAGTTCTGAATTTAGAAAAAAAAAATTTGAAAAAGCTGGGCATGGTGGCACATACCTGTAATCCTAGCACTTATGAGACAGAGGCAGAAGGATCATGAATTTGGGGCCAACCTAAGGTATACAGTGAATCTTTATATTTATTTATTTATTTATTTATTTATTTATTTATTTATTTATTTTTTGAGACAGGTTCTATCTGTAGTTCCAGCTGGCCTAGCACTTGCTATGTATATCAGACTGACGTGGATCTCACAGAGATCTGCCTGCCTCTGCTTCCTGAGTGCTGGGATTAAAGATACGAGCCACCACATCTGGTTTTTCAGTCTTTATTTTTTAGTTAATTAATTTTTATTTTATGTATATGAGTGTATTGCCTGCATGTATGTAAGTGTACCCTTGTCATGCAATGCCCTTTGAGGTCAGAAGATGGCATCAGATCCCCTGGACTGGAGCTACAGTTGGTTGTTAGCCACTATGTGGGTGGGGAATTCGAACCCAGGTCTTCTGCAAGAGCAGCCAGTGCTCTTAACTGCTGAGCTATCTCTCCAGCCTGAGTCTTTATTTTTTTAAAAAAGCTTTGAAAGAAAAATAAAATTTAAAAAGTTTCACTGGGTGAAAACTTCAGTGACTTCTGAATACAAAAAACAAAACAAAACACATCAGGAGCTGGTGATATGGCTCAGACGTTAAGAGCACATACGGCTCTTACAGAGGACCAGAGAGATGGGTTCCTAGCACCCAAGTCGGATGGCTCACAACGGTCTGTAACACCAGCTTCAGGGAATCCAACACCCTCTTCTGGCTTCCTTGGGCACATAAACACACACACACACACACACACACACACACACACACACAAATAAATAAAAAAATAACAATTAAAACCAAGCAAGGAAAGACTTCAGTGCACACACAGAGATCGCAGCTTTATTCACTGTATGGTTAGTCTTGGTTGTCACTAAGGCTAGAATCCCCTGGAAGACACACCTTTGGGCATATCTGTGAGGGCATTTTCAGAGAGGTTCAACCCAGCAAGGAAGACCACCCTGAATGTGAGCAGCACCATCACACAGGCTGAGATCCCAGACTGAATAGAGAGAAAATGAGAGGAGACCAGCGTTCACCTTCTTCCCCTCTCTCTCCTTGACAGTGGACTCAGTATGACCAGCTCCCTCGTGCTCCTGCCACCATATTATGATGACTGTAGGCAGCCCTTCTCAATCCATGATCCAAAATACATTCTTCTGAATTTTTTTCAAGTTGCTATTTGTCAGGTATTTGGTTACAACAATGAGAAAAGAACCAAATGTGATCTCACTCCAGAACATGGAATTCTACAACTGGAGCACTAGGCACACACAGTAGGCACAGTCCAGTCTAATCCCTGACTGTGGAAATGAAAGGACAGACCGGGGAAGCCAGAGAACATGCCTCATGGCTTTACCCATCAGCGACAGAGCTGGAAGAATCAGCGTTGAAACCTTGGTGGCACTGGGCCAGCTGCACATTGTCCTGCCTAGCACAGTCACTGGGAAACGAGCCTGAAATTGATGAGTGCTTGCAGACACAGCCTTGCTCCTGAGTGGTGACATGCTTTCATTCATCAGTGACTGACAGTTCCTTGTCTTCTCAGAGCCTTGAGGAACATGTTGAGCGGGCAGAAGTCTCTCAACTTCTCAGTGTTCCACAGGCTCCCCAGGGGTACCAAACTCTTTCTCTAGTGACTCCTAATCCAAAGCCGGGTGCTTGGTCTCAGGATCAGAGGCAGAAGCTGTCCAGATGGGCAGATGGGTTCAGGACTGCTCCAAATAAAGGCTATGTTTCCAACATCACAGGTTACTGGGTGGCTAAGTTTTTTATCAAAGGATGTGAAGGTGATGAACATGTGGGCTATGCTGTGTGGGTGAGTATGCTCAGAGCTGTCCCTTTCCCTTCCCATGGCTTGGAATGCAGACTGGTGGGCCTGGTCATGATGTGAGCCTGCTCTGTCAAGCAGATTCCCTGACCATAAAGAGCTACCTCAGCAGTGCTACTGTCATTTTGGGTTTCTGTCAACATGGCATAACTAACCTCAATTAACAGAGGAAAAGGATTGTGACTGTGGAGAATTATCTCCCCAAAGGTCAGCACCTGGGTGGTGACAGGGATGTTACTGATAATAACCATGACGGTGACAACACTTTTCCCCTCATGTGCACACAAGGCATTTCTACTTCTGTGAAGGGAAGAGAGGTCATCAGATGATATGACAAGGAATCATGCTACCGGATCAAGCCCCAGCAATGCACAGCCCAGTGGTTTCCACAATCATAAGCATTAACTGGACCAGAGGCTGTATCTACTAAACCTGACAAGAGCATGATCAAAGAGACATCAATGAGAAAACCAAAGCTGAAAGAGACCAACTTCCTACCCCCCCAGCTCTCTCCCACCTTTGTTCAATCTTCATGTTACTACATCAGAGCAATCTCCTATATCCTAACAGGCCTGTTCTGGCCACTTGTTATGATTTGAATCTGAAATGTCTCCAGGGGTTCATGTTCTGAATGCTTGTTTCCTAGTGGTGATGCTATTTTGGGAGTAGCCCCTGGACTGACTCT